TGTTTAAAGGGTTCAAGCAATCCCAGAGACTTTAAGTACACAACAAAATGTATTTKATAGCTAAAAAAAMGGATTTTGCATTTGTCCCTTGTGTTGTGGGAAATAAAAMTATCCACCAAAAACTCTACCGACAAAAAGGGTTTTAATCAGCATTATATGGCTGAACGTGTAGCATTAAATGGGATCAACTTCCATCATACCACTTCACAAAAATGTTTGGTTTGTTTAAAGAAAAAACTGTTAAATGTGGATTTTGCACAAACGGCCTTTGAGGTCTCTTTGAAGGAAGCAACACCGATGRGATTAAATAATTCTTTAGCTTGGCTAAACTGTAGCTGTAGATTTAAGTTGATCAATGAAAATGATTTAACACTCTCTAAACTTCAGAGCATCACTTGTAGTTGTACTGCAGGTGTTTAGGCCACATTAACAGCCGGTGAGTCGGTGCAAAACCTCCTGGTAAACAACATCGTCATGGGGTCGGAGCCGCGCTTTCATTCTTCAAAGCGAAGCTGCGGAGGCACATCAAGGGGAGCAAAGAGTCAATGCTTATCTGAAGCCTTTGGCAGAGCAGAGTTAGAGACAGGAAGTGTCGAGGAGGAGCGTCCGGAGTGCACAAGGGGGGCGAAACCAAGCATTGCGGGGAGGTCCTCAAATCCCTTTTTTATATCAGGGGCTCACAAGCAAGCTGAAAAAGTAGCACGCAAGCCAGAGGGGCTSAGGAGATCAAAGCTAAAAAAAATAAATAAATAAAATCCCAGAAAGAATTAAACACACAGGAGAGATAAAAGATGTCAGCATCACCCTGATTTCCTCATTCCAGCCAAACAGCTGAGTCAGTCCGCCTGTCGAGGGGGGAAGACAGTGATGTTGCGTGACAAGAGGAGCACAAAAAGATGACAACCTGCTGCAGACGTGTGAGCAAACACAGCTGCTGTGGTTCCCTCCCGTGTGGCTGAGTGCCTCGGAGCGCCGCATACGAGTGCATTTGTGTATCTAAGTGTGGAAGGTGGGAGGGCCAATAAAGCTCCTCTCTGACAGGTCTACAGTAAATAAAGTTGTGACGGGGTTCTCTGCTTACGTGGAATCAATTTCCTCTGTGCAGCCATAACCATCACTRCCCCTCCTGTCTCTGTGCGCTTTTCAATTAAAAGTCAGAGCCAGGGGTGTGTCGTTGTTTACTGCACATCCCTTCGTGTTTTTAGGGCAAGGTCAGAGACAGAGTTGCTGTCAGATCTGATTATTACTCGGAGTGGTTTTTGTTGTTTTTTATCCATTTACATTTATTCAGTCGCAGAATGCTGTGGCTGTAGGTTCTGTCTGTAAGGGTGTGGGAGAGGGGTGGGTGTAAAGTGGGTGTGGAAGCCATCAGGCATGCAGAGCATCACACCGCTGGCCCTCGGGTTGCCCTGGGAGGTACGCTTGCTCTTTTCTGACCTATTGCATGAGTAAATGTTAAATGGAGGGGTGGGGGTGGTGGGTAGAAAGGGGCTTCTCATTGACATTCCTGATAGTTWAAAAAAAAAAAGGAAACTGCACCCATGGGTGCTGTCCTATAACTGGGGATGAGAGTGCTTGTTCCAGATGGCAGACGAATCAGATGTTGCCCCATTTCCAAAACCAATTACAGCCAAAAGTGTAACACATGACTTTCAAAAAAAAAAAAAAAAAGAAGTTAATCTATTAAGGTTTGTGTGTTAAAATGACCCAAACTGCAGACACACAGATAGACTCGTTATGAATAAAGAAACTTTAAAGAGGACATGTTACGCAAAATCCACTTTTTTGGCCGTTAAATACATTTTGTTACACTTGGAGTCTCTAGAAGTGCAGAGAAGTTGCTGTGCTGCATACAGGTGCTGGTCATAAAATTAGAATATCATGAAAAAGTAGATTTATTTCAGTAATTCCATTTAAAAAGTGAAACTTGTATATTATATTCATACATTACATACAAACTCATTTATTTCAAATGTTTATTTCGTTTAATTTTGATGATTACAAATGACAARAAATGAAAATCTCAAATTCAGCATATCAGAAAATTAGAATCTTGTGAAAAGGTTCAAAATGGATGGCACCTGGTACCACACTCTAATCAGCTAATTAACTCAAACCACCTGCAAAGGCCTTTAAATGGTCTTTCAGTCTAGTTCTATAGGCTACACAAACATGGGGAAGACTGCTGACTTGACAGTTGTCCAAAAGACGACCATCGACACCTTGCACAAGGAGGGCAAGACACAAAAGGTCATCACTAAAGAGGCTGGCTGTTCACAGAGCTCTGTGTCCAAGCACATTAATAGAGAGGCGAAGGGAAGGAAAAGATGTGGTCGAAAAAATGTACAAGCAAGAGAGATAACCGCACCCTGGAGAGGATTGTGAAACAAAACCCATTCAAAAATGTGGGGGAGATTCACAAAGAGTGGACTGCAGCTGGAGTGAGTGCTTCAAGAACCACCACACACAGACGTATGAAAGACATGGTTTTCTGCTGTCGCATTCCTTGTGTCAAGCCACTCTTGAACCACAGACAGCGTCAGAAGCGTCTTGCCTGGGCTACAGAGAAACAGGACTGGACTGCTGGTGAGTGGTCCAAAGTCATGTTCTCTGATGAAAGTAAATTTTGCATTTCCTTTGGAAATCAAGGTCCCAGAGTCTGGAGGAAAAGAAGAGAGGCACTTCATCCACGTTGCTTGAAGTCCAGTGTAAAGTTTCCACAGTCAGTGATGGTTTGGGGTGCCATGTCATCTGCTGGTGTTGGTCCATTGTGTTTTCTGAGGTCCAGGGTCAACGCAGCCACATACCAGGAAGTTTTAGAGCACTTCATGCTTCCTGCTGCTGACCAACTTTTTGGAGATGCAGATTTCATTTTCCAACAGGACTTGGCACCTGCACACAGTGCCAAAGCTACCAGTACCTGGTTGCAGGACCATGGTATCCCTGTTCTTAATTGGCCAGCAAACTCTCCTGACCTTAACCCCATAGAAAATCTATGGGGTATTGTGAAGAAGAAGATGCAATACACCAGACCCAACAATTCAGAAGAGCTAAAAGCCACTATTAGAGCAACCTGGGCTATCATAACACCTGAGCAGTGCCACAGACTGATTGACTCCATGCCACGCCGCATTGCTGCAGTAATACAGGCCAAAGGAGCCCCAACTAAATACTGAGTGCTGTACATGCTCATACTTTTCATGTTCATACTTTTCAGTTGGCCAACATTTCTATAAATCCTTTGTTTTTATTGGTCTTCAGTAATATTCTAATTTTCTGATATGCTGAATTTGAGATTTTCATTTGTTGTCATTTGTAATCATCAAAATTAAACGAAATAAACATTTGAAATATATGAGTTTGTATGTAATGTATGAATATAATATACAAGTTTCACTTTTTAAATGGAATTACTGAAATAAATCTACTTTTTCATGATATTCTAATTTTATGACCAGCACCTGTATATATCTTTATATAACGTTTGGATCATCTTTTACTTTTCTTTATTTTCCATGACGTTTTCGGACAAGTCTCCCCTTGTTGACATTTTTGAATTAATTTGTAAATAAAAAGTTTCTGGGCCGTTGTAAAACCTCTCTAATAAGCTAGAATGGAGRGCTCTGGAAGATGGAGGGGGGCGGGGTCTGAAGCGCCTTGTTTGGGTTTAAAGAYACAGCCTCAAAATGAATTGATCTGAGACACACCTCAGAAAAGTGGTGAAAGAGGGGCTTGTGGAGTTGCAATAAGGAGGAATTCAGACCAAAGCATCGCAGTTCCACTTTATTTAGATCCCAACTGAAGGATTTAAAAGTGAAAAAGAAAAATTTTAAAGCAAGACACGTCTCCTTTAATAAAATTAAATGCTGGTGTGGCGGCAAAGATAAAACTAAAACATCAAAGCTGGGAGCCAACAAAATGCTGTTTTTATGTTTCAATAGGAAATAAACTTAACTTCTCATCACTTCCTCTTCTAAACGCCTTGAAATTGGCCTCTGTCTCTTTAAGAACTACCTTTGCTTCTGTCTCACGTGTGTGTGTGTGTGTGGGGGGGGGGGCTGCCATGATGCAATTTACTTGGCATCTGAAAATACATTTCCTCAAAGGTATTTTAATCTGAAAAGAGCTTCACTGAGTGAGAACTAATGTTGGGAGCTCAGCAGACAGTTAAGTTTCACTTTCACTTTCACCCGAGAGCCTGCAGGAGTCATGGGGGTGTGGGGGGAAGGGGTGCGCTCTGCCATGAGGAAGTTTGACACATCCCAGGGGCGTTTCTGGTCCCCACCTGTCGTTTTGCTCCTCAGCATGGCTTCCTAAAAACACTACAGGATTTCTCAAACGTGCATGAATGAGTCAGAGCAAGGCTTTGGGCATGTTTTTTTTATGAGAGTATAACATTATAACATGATATAAAACTCAAAAAAGTGGATTTTACATGATATTGCCTCTTTAAACAGTTCCAAAGCCTGCCTCTGTCTTTTCAGGGAAGCTCTTGTGTATTTTATTAAGAGATGTTAAACAGCATCCATTACAGAATGGCTTCCAACTAAAAGAGTCTGGGTGCTGAACTGGCCCAGCAGACTGTTGAACAATCCCTTCCAGAACTTCCAGGATCTGGTTCATGAACTGTTGTTAAAAGAAGAGAGGATGCTTCACCGTGGAAAACATGTCCCCACTTTTCTGTTGCTATAAAATTCAAAATGACCTCATCCCCCCCCCCCCCATATAACACATTTTAAGTTTTTAATATTTGATGTGTTTATTGTGTTCCATTCTGAATAAACGATGGGTTTATGAGCTGTGCAGATCATTYCACTCTCTTATACATTTTACCCCAACTTTTTCAAAAATGGGTTTTTGTTTTTTGACGATTTGATTCACTTAAACTGTATTTTCTTTTTGCCAAAGCCTTGTGTGTAGTTTCCAAGTGCTTAAAGAGCAACATGGCCGCAAAGCAGCTGAACTCAAGGGTCAGSGGAAACGCTGCGGAGATCACCCACCTATAGTCGACACCACAGTTCCAACAAAGTAAAACGCGCCCGTAAAATCCCATCTGGGTCTGAGCGCGTCGGCCCGGATCCCCGCGGCGATGGCAGCCTCGTACTCCCGCAGGAAAGAGTTGAGGTCCCGCAGGCTGATGTTGAAGGTCTCGCTGAAGTTCAGGAGCGTCCCGTTCCAGCGGCCGTGAGCCCGCAGCTCCGAGGGCCTCTCGATGGCCGAGAAGACCGCAGCGCCGCACAGCAGGTACAGCAGGATGAGGACGGCCAGCAGCACGAAGCGGCCGTTGTCCTCGTTGAAGTGCAGGGAGCGGCAGCCCTGCACCCGCCGGCCAGGCATCATCCGAATTTCAGCACCACGCGCGCGTCGGACAGCGACACGCTCCGCATGGAAGGCGCCGTTCGCGGGTCTGTCCTCTGGAAGTCACCGTCCTGCTCCCCCGCTGCGCACGCAACATTCCCCCCTACTTTGCGCACCACGCCGCCTCATTGTTCGGAGAAGTGCGGTCAGAAAACTGACACACCCGCGCGTGCAAGTCCGGAGATAGTTTCATAACATTCCTCCTTGCAGTAGTGCTGTTGGCGTGAAGTGGACTGCAGCGTAAATCCAACAGGAGCGCGTGTTTGGGAAGAAGAAGCAGCAGTATCCTCCAGGTCCCCCTGCACCAAAATCTTTCCTCTCCAGAATTTCAGAATGATGCACAAAAATCTTAAAAAGAGACAGATTTACGCGCCATAATCCCACTCTCAGACAAAGTGACAACATCCACGGGGCTGACTTGTCCCGGAGAGAGCAGAGGAGCTGGAGCCTTTTGTGTGCAGCARGGTGTGTGGAGCAGCGCATATGGTGAGATCACCTCCTCCTCGCGCGGAATCGGGGGGCCAGAGAAAAAGAGGAGTATTCCCCCGCGCGCGCGTCTTCGTCACTTGTCTTCAGATGACAGGATTTTACATCTTCTCTCCCGCGGCCAGGAGCTGACAACTTGTGCCATGCGCACTGAGGACACGCGGCTCATTAAACCCATCATTTGCACCGTGGGAGCAAAATGCAGAAAACTGGAAAAAAAAAAAAAAAAAGGAGTTCAAATCAAGCTGGTTTTAAATCACAACGCATATTTCTTGATGGGATGCATATCATCGTGTCGACTTTTATGCTACAGTCAAACAAATTCTCATGAGGTCTGAGTGCTGGGGAGGACTCTCAACTACTACCACATCTGTACATTTGACTGAGTTGTAGTAATTGTTTCGTTTTCTAATGTAGATTAGTTCAATTAGTCACTATAAAAGTTATGAACATCTGAAAGTTTCATTAAATATTCTTCTTTGGTTGATGAGATGTTTTGCTACAGAAATCAAGTACCAATAAATGAGCTAAAAATAAAAGTCATATCATGTTTTTGATTTTGCCATAATGATGTTTCTGTTCTAATTATTTCCTAACCTGTGCACAATCAAACATTATCACTCCTCAACCTGAGTAATAGACAGTAAATAAGTAATTATAAATGACAGAAAGCAGGAAATTAAACAATTYAAATTTGTGAACTGATGGAAGAATTTGCATATTTTGAAAATAGCTCCTTTAAACAGTTTTATTCTGAAAAGACAAGAGGAAATTGTTGTAAATGGGTGGCAAAAACTAACATCAGATTTTTTCATGGAGGTGTCCTCAAAGTGAACTGCAGCAGCTTATTAAGGATCTGATTGTTTAAGTAAACGACTCTAAGACAGCCATCCTTGTTATGTATTCCACATGGAGCGTTAGAGGTTGAGGACAGATGGACATGATCTCACTCTGCTGCTGTTATCAGTCAAGTTGATCTTGAAAAGAGCCATTAAATCTGCTGTTAGGGAAAGAGTCTATAAAAGGTGGAGCAGTGGGGGTTTTACAATGGTCTTTTCTGTGTGTGTTTCTATAAAGATATAAAAAAGGGGACAGTTTTTTTTTTACATTTTGAAACGCTGCATTCAGTTTTTAACACAAACACAAAGCCCTGCGAGGCCGAAACTTATGTTCAAATAATAAGACGTTTCTTTTATTAACAATTACGAAAGAGCTGATGATGCATGAAAAGCTTCTTCAGCTGAATAAATRCCATCCGTTCATGAARTGTACCTGCCTTTCCCTCTTACGGAGGTGTCCATGTCAGTCACAGTGCGAGGGGCGAGGTGCACCCTGGACAGGTCGCAAGCCCACCACAGGACCACACACAGGCAACCATTCACGCTCTCACTCATGCATAGCGATAATTTTGAGTTACCAAGTAACCTGACATTCCTGTTATTGGTCTGCGGGGGAAAACCATGGAGAAAACCCATGCATGCATGGAGCGAACTTGCYAAGTCTACCCAGGAAGGCATCTGGCGAGATTATAATGCTACAACTGCACCACGTGCCGCCCAGCTGAACAAATTCAATAATAAACAGCTGATTCAGACTGGAAGCTCAATATGCAGGAAACTGATTAAGTTCTCAATTAAATGTTCATTTTCAGATCTAAAAACTCCATTTTACTCCCAGRCCCGTGCTGAAATGGGCGGGACAGAAGCGGAAGGAGGTTCTTAAAGAGACAGAGGCCAATTTCAAGGTGTTTAGAAAGAGGTATGATGAGAAGTCAAGTTTATTTTCTATTTAAACATATAAAGAACATTTTAATAACAACTGAAGGTGACACAGTTACTTTATRATGGTATAGAATTTAAATATATMCCTGAGAAACACATAATATTGCCRCTTTAACCCTGGCCACACCCCCCTGTGGGTGGCCCCTCCTACGTCAGCATAGGAGTGCGGGAAATGTAAAAATGGTGTTTACACTGTTGGAGTGAGGCACATTTTAAAAAGAGATTTGTTTATTCTCTTACTTAAAGTAAATATACAATCGACTGCAACGTATACCAACTCAATTAATCAACCACAAAATATCCAGCAGGATTTTAAAGAAAGCAATGTTTTTAAAGAAAATGATAAGATCGCATGCCTTTCTAACGGGAATGTACTTTRATAAGTAAAAAGTTGTTTTAAAAATGTATAAAAGTTACAAAACCTAACATCAATATCATCCATTTCCTGAATGATTTGAATGTTTTCATGTTGCTAAAACAGAACAWAGTCTGCAAAAGCACAAGACTGAAAACAATGAAAGGAAAATTGTGTGAATGCTGAATCAGCGTTTATATAGAGATGTCAGGATCAACATGTTGYAGCCAGCAGGTTGTGGCAGGAAGACTCGACTTTCCCACAGGGAACAGAGTCTCAGGGTTGCATGAGGTGCTTGTATTGATCAGGCTTTCTAATCTGGTTAATTGCCTTCCAAATATCAAGGCTGAGTGCAGAACAAGGGCACGCTCAGCACAATTATCTCTGCTCCACAGTTCGTCCTTGTCAAAGCTGATCTTTGGCTCAACTGCGGGACAGAGACGTAACGGTGGAAGACGATGCGACGATGAGTCTGCGGCTCTGACAGGAGGCGTGGAGCTTTATTTAATCAGAACTCAGGCTCTTTGTGGGCYTAATCTATCAAACCTCAACATTTTTTATATCACCGATGTTGGRGAGAAAGCAGCAAAACAATCAGTGGAAAAGAGGTGAAAGAAGACACGATGTTCTTTGTTTCCAGTTCCTTTCTTTTCTCTCCYCCCACTAATTTCTTCTTAGGGTCATGGTGGGAGGGGGAGGCTCCAGATTATCCCAGCATGCACCAGCAGAGATACGGGAAAGTCTGTAGCTTCGGCTTTACAGCAGACGCTCATTCATGCCTCCAGGCCATGTAGAGTGAAAAAAACCCATCATGGCCAAGGTTTAATGTGTTTTCTGACAACATGGATGTTAACCAGGAATACACACACTGAAATGGAAACACTTCTAATCACACACATAAGCAAAGCAGTTGAAACATATTTAGAAATCTGTATTTTTTAATCTTTTTATTTTTTTTTATTTTTATTTTATTTTGTTCACCTGCATGTCTAGAAAAATCAAACACAGATCCACAGATTTTGTTTCACTTCAGTGAAGTTTCCCTTCTGTATGTAACAGAACTGATACAATCCACTGTAAAAGTGACAAAAAAGGACAGTTGTTTTATTGCAGTGATTAATTTTACCTACATGTAAAAAATGTTACATTAACATCACATCATGGATCACATATTGATCAGATGCTGCTGCTGACTGATCCATGARMMGATGTAAATGTAACATTTTCTATGGGTAAAATTAATCACTGTGGCTGGCTTTCTCAAGGACCAGGATGTGTGACATAAAAATTAGAATTTTGGAACTGAAATTGAAAGTAGTCAAAAATTTTAATAGAACAAAATACAGCTTCAAAGCAAATAATTCAAATTCAAAACTTTAAATTCAATTTCAAACAACTAAATTCATTTTCAATTTTGTGAATTTTTTTTATTTTCAAATCAATGCATTCAATTTCAAATTATTCAGATTCAATCTGAGCAATTCAAATTCAATTCCTACTGGCACAAGATTTATCCCATAGAATTATGGTGTAATTCTATGGGATGAAACAGACTTAATCTATGGGAAGAATAAGTCTGATTTAGCATTGCTTTTATTTATGCTAAGTCAGACTTATTCTTTTGATTGACCTTAGATTTGATAGTTGTAATGATTTGTATTACGCAAATATACCAATTAGTACCTATTATTGCTTTGGTGTTAGGTTTGTGTAAATAAAGTTTATTTCTTGTTTTCACCATTAACTCTTTTTATAGTTCCTTCCTGTAAATAGTTTAAAGCCAGCTTGTTTTCACTGTGTAATGGTGTTGGTGTACATGACATGCAGAACCCAAATAAATTAACCWCAAAATTAAGTTTTATTGTCATGTCTCCCTGTTAAACATTGAGCCTCTGCTGGTCAAAGTGACAGTGCAATTCAGGTTTTAGGGAAAAAAAACTTTACTCATGCCTGTTTTTKATATTTAATATATTCCTAAATGACAGAAAGACAATGAAAGGACTGTTCTGATGATCATACAATGAGGATCCCTGTTTGTTTGTTCTTATAGTTAATTATTTTTGTCCCTTTATGATCCTCCTGTCTTTATTTACCTTGCTCGTTCAGTTCCTCCATGTCTTTTCATTTTGGCCCCGCCCACCTGGTCATCATTGTCTCTCGGCAGGTGTTTGCCATTCTCTTCATTTTTCATATTTTTTCCACACACCTGTCCCTCCTGTGGCTCTAGGAGTGGATCATGACATGTTGGACGTCTCAATCCTACCTGTGTCCAGTTTATGTGATTTTGGTTGATTTTTTTTGTAGTAGTAGTAGAGTTGGCTACACTGTTCAGCATTTTTGTTGATAAATCATTTATTTTTACTCTCCCGAGTTCTGCTTGCATTTGGGTTTCAAGACAAATAATTGTGACACATAATAGTTTCTGTTTCTGTTCTAAGAAAGAAAAAAACAGCAACAAATGAGGAACAACAGCACTAAGTTGTGGGAAGGATTAAACAATAGTGTGGTAACTCTAACATGTCATTGTTTCTGATGTCATTTTCAGGAATGTTGCACAAATGTRGCAGTTTATTCGCCGGTATGTAAAAATGCAAACTGCTTCAAAACTCCATGTGATGCCACTCAGCAGCAGGCTTTAAGTGCATTCTGCAGCTAAACACTCACCTTAACTGGTCACTTATCAGAATTACTCGGGACACGTGAGGAAGATGGAGAGGAGACAATCCTTCAGAGTGCTGGAACGAAGACTCCTGCAGGGAATAATGATGAGGGGGACAGGAGAGGACAAGTTGCCAATAATTTATAAAAAGAAATAGAATGGTGGTGGGCCGAATGAGGGAGGGGCTTTCCTACAACACACTGAGCCAAATTAACTCCATGTAACATATGGGGACATCAACCATTTTGACATTTGATAAAAACACGCTAACATGCTAACCTTTTACACGAAACTTTGTGTTTTTGTATGAGTTCGTCAGAATCTGGCCTGGTGTTAATATTTCAGATTTCAGATTGCTTTTATTGTCATTCAAACAAAACATCATGGATGTAGAARGAAATTTCAGTTAAGAACACCCATTCAAGAGAACACACATGACAAAACCATGGGGGAACAGGTGAACAGGTCATGTGCAACAGGGATGAGTTTTAAAAATTGCTCTAATCTTATATTTACATCAGAAACATAAAATCATACGCACAAAAAAAAACCACTCGCTACAGAGCAAGACAGCTGTTTAAAAMTTATTGTTTGTTTTCACTGCTGTGACCTTTTCCTTTAAGACTGACTGCTCGACTTCCTCACTATTTGTTTTTACTCTTCTTATTATTTCTTTTTTTGCA